TTTTATAAGTTTTATTAATATATTATACATGCAAAATTTGTGGGTATTACACAAACCTGTACAGTACGGTTAGGCAATGTATGTATTGAACGGTTTTTTTCTTGAAATACATACATTGCTAACCGTACTGTACAGGTTTGTGTAATACCCACAAATTATAAAGCATGGTAAAGTTGATATTTTAAAAATTTTAAAATTGCCGAACTTAATGATCTAAATCTAACAAATTGTCTTTCTTTAACACATCAGTTCGTTTTAGGTGAAAGCAGTAGTATGAAGGACTTGTGCGACCGTAAATCATCCAATCGGACTTGAATCGCTACGAGTAAAGAGATTTTGTTGAAAACTTTAAATAAACTAAGTTTTTCATCCATGTATAAAACGCGATGAAAAAAAATAAGTTCGGAATTATCGAATATTAGTAATTATATACAATATATTTGTATATATTTTTTAATTATAAAAAGCTTTTTTAATAGTGTTAAGATATCCCAGTAAATCAAGCTGTTCATATCAAGTTCTTGCTTAACTTTTTAATTTTTTTAAATTTCAAATATCTTCTTCTCTTTCTCATATCTACAATCGCTTTCAGATTTTTTCCTTCATTATAAATATTCGAAAATATTATTCAATCTAAAAGAAAGTCGACGAATTCCACCTCAACAAGGTACTGTACTAATATATTTATTTAAAGCATGTTTAATAGTAATTCCATATATACTAGTCTACGTAATTATTTGTTTCAGTTTTTATGCTAGAATAAATTTCGAAAGAATATAAAGAATATAAATTTGAAATAAATACTTTATAATAATTTTTGAATCTTTTATACTGAGATCGAATTTTATGTGAATTTTATATACTCTTATATTTAGTATTTAGTTCACTATAGAGTAGACAAGGTTTATGCTGATAAATGCGCATGGTAATCAAATAATCAAAGAAACACCTTCTTTTATTAACGTTAATTAAATTTATTTGTGCTTTATTCTTCAGAATAGGTTTATGAATTCAATATTCCAAGGTACCATATATATAAAATCGTGAAATTTTAAAGGTAGAAGAAAATACGTGGAATATTGAATTTCAAATAATTTTAATAATTAATACCTACGACAAATGCAAATTCAACAAATTCAATTTCTTCCTTCATCTTCAAATATAATAAAATATATATCGAACTATTGTCATATTTTAATTACATATTCCTAATCCTTATAATGCTTTAAAAAATCAGGAACTTTCTGATTATACTCTATCAGAATCTTAACTAAATCGTAAGCAATTATAGCATTTCTTTCGTTATAAAAGCTTGTGGCCAACCCTTGATTACCAACTCGAGCCGTTCTATAATAATTTAAAAGTCATTATTAAACTCTTTTAAACCAATATACGACTTTAAAAAAAAAAAATAAATATGCACCTTCCAATACGGTGAACGTATTCATCTATTTGGTTGCAAAGGTCGTAATTAACGACATGCATTACATCTTTGATGTCAAGACCTCGAGCTGCCACGGCGGTGGCAATTAATATGGGTGATCGTCCACTCCTAATAAATGAGAGAGGTATTAGCACGCTTTCAATATCACTGCATTTATATACGATATTTACTTAAAGGAAATTAATGCATCTTCTCTTTCTCTTTGTGAACGATCCCCATGAATACTGGTTGTTGGAAAATCCCGGTTGTATAAAAAGTTATCAAGAGAGTCCGCTCCACGCTTTGTCTCAACAAATATAAGAGTTCTGGATGGTGGCTGTTTTAGCAATAACTCGACAAGACAATCACGTTTATTTTGTTCTTTAACATATATAACCTATATATAAATTGTTATTTGTATTAACAAATTTATTAAAGACATAATGATTTTTTAACTTCTATCTACCTTTTGGGTGATATCGCTCGTGGTTCCACCCACTCGGCCAACTGTTAAGAATGCGTAATCCTTTGATAAAAAATCTTTAGCCAGTTTGCGGACAGGCTTTGGGAATGTGGCAGAATACATGAGGGTTTGTCTAGTTCCTTCATCACATAAATCTAATTGATCATCAATTATTAGAGAATATATTGTTGCATAATTCTTTTAAATAGTTAAGGATCGAACCTGATTTTTGTACGATATTCCTGATTTTAGGCTCAAACCCCAAATCCAACATACGATCAGCTTCATCAAGAACAAGGTACCTTTTAAATTTTTTATTAGACTTTAAGTAAATTAAGTAAATGATTTCAATAAATTTTACAAACTTACTTGACTCGGCGAAGACTAATAAAGCCCCTTTCGAATAAATCAATAATTCGACCCGGAGTCGCCGATAAAATGTCGCAACCTTTGGCCAACTCATTCTTCTGCGGAATAATTTCAGCACCCCCATATACAACGCTTTTAAAATCATTAAAGAAATAATAAATGTTAATCGAGCTTAAGATGATGAAATGTTATTTGCTTTTGAATTCGAAGATATAACCAACCATGGTCTCAACATGCTTCTATAAGTAAATCGACGGCATTCGTCAAATATTTGGGTGACCAATTCTCGCGTAGGTCCAAGAATTAGAACCAAAGGTTCGACTTTAAATCTACGTGCGTCCGGACGGGGTCTGGGAGCGGCGAGAATTTTTGCCTTTCCAAATAGTTTAGATAAAATGGGAATCAAGAATGCCGCCGTTTTACCAGAGCCTATCAAATAAAATAATTAATGTGACAAGAAACGACAAGAAATCATACAAATTCATATATATACCAGTTTGAGCACAAGCCATAAGATCTCTTCCCTCAGTGATAATGGGTATAGAATATCTCTTTGAGGATATAATATTCGTTAATTTTATATTGAAAGTTCTGGGAATAACCTTAATATATTACATATTAGTACCTGAACCGGAGTAGGAATAGAATATCTTGCTAATCTAATAATGTCTTTCATTAATGGATCAAGACTAGCCACGTCAAACTAAGATGATGATATAGCGTAGCGATATATTATAAATTCTTTCGGAAAAAAAGATTTCTGTACCTAAAAGTTCAAAAATATTGTTGCAAACTTACGGAAGATATTGGAGTTATACATCCGGGTTTGACGGTGACCTTAATATTTGCATATTTGTCGAAATTTATTCCGGTGTGAATGTGGTTTTCTTCTCCAAAAAGGTCATTTTCTAATTCAAGATCTCTGGGAGCTACAGTACCGTCGTAAGAATCATTCCAGTCATAGCGACGACGGAGGGCTGCCCATTGACGGTTTTGATCATGGTTAGATCGTCTTGAACCGCTCTTTCTTTGATTATTGTTCATATTTAAGTTTTGCAGAATTTTTTTTTTTTTTTAGAAGTAGAGACCTGTATTGAAAATATATTTTAAGTAATAATGTGGGTTGGTTGCTGATATTGGTATAAATACGTAAGTTCTTGAAACTTCACCTTGGAAAGAAACTCTTCACTACGATAATTTTGAAGAAAGTTTTTTCGAAAGAAGTCAACAATATATCAGGTAAGGTGGTGATATTAGTTTTAAATATGTAAGATTTTGAGACTTCGCCTTAGGAATAAAGGAGATGAGTATTATCTTTTTTTTTTTCTTTTTTTTTTTGGTAAGCAAAAGGCAAAGTTATTTTTATATACGTTAGAAAGTATGCAATATTACGAAACTTTTTTTTAACAATTGGATTTTGATCGGTCACATGTAAGGTTTTATTATATCAGACATCTGACTTGCGGACTTTGAATTATTTAATCCATATGATATAAGATTATGGAAATAAAGAAATATATGAAAATTATAATCGCAATGAATTCGATATTCAAAAGGTTCTACGTGGCACAGCTGCGTGTCCGCTTATATGATCTATAGACGAATGCAACCGATGCGATGTCTTTTTTATTAAAAGAGACCATCCATTGTTTACCATCCACTGTTCTGCTTGGCTTGTTTTATTTTAGCATTGTAGTGCGGTCATGTGCGCGTGCACCACATGATTGGTGAATTTCAGCACATAACGTTTCTTATTAGTATAACAGATACTTTTAACTTTCTCCAAGAAACTTGGTCAATCAAAGCATTTTTCGTAATTGGACAATGCGTTTCAAGCCTTTATAAGTTCCCACGTGTCATAAAAATTAATGCACATGAAATACTGTAAATGAAAATTCTTCATAGGACACATTCATTTAACAATTGATTACGACTTATTAACTATATTAAATGTTAACTTCTTTAACATGTTCAACGATTCTTCTTGCTGTTCCTGGATTTAGTTGTATTGAAAACCTATGATTTTAATTTTCATCAGCCAAGTACCAAAAAAATTTCGTACAAAAATCAAAAAAAAAAAATAATATTTAAACCTTGCACGAAAATCCCTACCTAGTAACTGCACGGGTTCATTTTTCCTCGTATTGCGTAGGTTATATTTGCATAATTATTTACCAACTTTAAAGCTCTCATTTTGGATTGTAGAGTTTAGCAAGATGGTAGATGAGATTTTAAAGAGATTTTTAATTTTTTTAAAGAAAAGACATTATTATTCGACGATAATACGAAAATCACGTGATTATTATAAGTTGAAAGTAGAATTCAAAAGGTTCAATATAATGTATGATTAATTAATTAATAATACTCTTTTCATTTTCTTTTGATTTTTAATTTCAACGTCTTTTGCAATTCCATCATCTTTC